ATTGGTGCATGTTGGCAATGTCCAGGAACCCATATAGAGAAGTTATGTGAAGAACCTGCTATTTCAGTAGGGCAAAGTAAGGTTGAGCTCCCCACAACCCAGTTAGTGCTGAAATTCATGAAAGTGAAAAAAAATTTCTCAGTCCACTTAAAACCAAAAGGCTTGAAATAGTCTTTGTGATTCCTCAATTAGAAAAAAGATGGGTCATGACCCAGGAAATAGCTGGAAGTGGATTCACCATCATCTCTACTTCAACTGAGGGCAATAAAGGGCAACTGTGAAGAAAAAAGGGGGGAATCTTGGGTTACCTCATGTTGTGCTAACTCCCCTGAATCACCTCCTGGCAACCACAAAGTGGTGTCAGCAGCGGTGAATCTAGAGCTGGCATGCAGTTGTCATGGACAGACAAAAGTCGGCCTGAATCCCTTTACCTCTGCTGTGGCTACCAACCAGAGAATAAGTTAAGTAGATACTAGTAGATGAGATTAATGAGTGATGGCAGAAGAGCTCTTTAGAGGGGGTTCATTCAGGAAATGAGTCTCCAAAGATTAAATTAACCACCCAGTACTTCTCTCCCTTCCCAAATTCTTCTACTATTACAGCTGCAGCCACTGCCTTTTGTACTGAAGTCAAGACTGCCTGAGCCCATGAGCCAAAAGAAGCCCTTAACATGTAGAACCCGATTCTGTATTCTCTGTTCAGACACAGGTGCCAAGCTCTTCACCTCATCAGAGCAGTGGATTAGCAACTGGAGCTCTAGACAGCTAGGAAATTCGACTGGCAAAGACTGGAGCGTTGATGCTCTCTCTCAGGTGGCTGGAGGAGGTGGTGGAGGTTATGTGACTGGACTCAAGTATGCCAACTCCACCTGTGTTTGAATTCAGCCTTTCAGTCTTGCTATGAGTTTAGCTCCTAATCTAACACTCTCCAAGGAACAAGGAATGGAAGAACAAAGAAAAAGGAGATCAGACCCCTGAAACCACCCAACACAGCTCTGCACGGTGCTACTCAAGCAGCAACTAAAAATACTTTGGAAGAAAATTATGTATAAAACTTTTTCCAGCTTTTTAGTATTCAACTAATGCACTCTGTAGGCTGCTGCACAAGCGCTTTAGTTGCAAAATATCTGGCACAAATTAAAAACCATCCCAATGTTATATATTACACCACTATTCAGGTATCATTCATTAGCTTTTAAGGTACTTTTCTTCAGTCACAAGCTCTACATTTTCAGAGATATGCCAACATCTCATTGAAGCTCTAATGGCATTTTAATGGTTTATCTACACCTCAATGTGTTCCCTCCATACAGGTCAACTACAGCTGAATAGTATCTCTTTGCTTAAGAAGTATTTTGCTGTACTCACACTTCACCATAACTCAAACCATGACGACAGAGTCAGAAACACTGATGAGAGACAGACATCTTACTTAGGGGATCACTGCCTAGGCCATACAAAACCATAAAATATGCATCCTTTTTGAGGTAACGGAGGCTATTTATACATTAATATTTGATATGAAGAGACTACATACCATCCATTAAATGCAGCTGGTTCTGTTTTTCAAAGCCTAATCTGTGCACCCCTTCTCTTTATCTCAGGTAGTAAGAATAAATGAAGACAGTCTTCAATAACTAGTTAGCTCTCTCAGACATGCTAACACTCGAAAGAGCAGGCTTGGAATGCCTAACTGGAACTGCTTAGCACTGAACTGGGAAAAATATAAAAGCAATTATTCAGTTATTGTGGAAAACCTGAAAGCTGTAAAGTAGTAGAGACAGTCTACCTGGGCCTGTGTTTCTCACTATTTATTTATTTTGTAATTCAAATAATAATGCCATTATTCTCAACTTTCTCACTGGAAGTTACCAAGTGCAAACAACACATTTTTGTCACAAAGTACTTTGCTCACCAGACCAGTTTGACCTATAACAGTGAAAGGTTTCTATGACTGCGAGCAGCACACGCAACACATTGTCATTTACAACTGCAGGTGACTTCTGCAGTTCAAGCTGGAGAATAAACCACTAACACCCTCTAGTCTACAAAGCCATAAAGTTATTTATCCATATTTAAATGCTGTTGCTAAATTAGACTGTAAGATCAACTTTGGACTTTTTAACATAGGTTTAAATGAGAAAGGCGTAAGATACGGGGGAGTACTTGTAGAAAACTTAAAGAGTATCACCTTTGTCATTTCATGCTTTTAAGAGCAGAACTAAGACTCTACAAACAGTTTAGGTATAGCTTATCCTTTCTTTGGACAGTGGAAAGGTCTAGATGATCCTTCAGAGTCAATTTTAACTCTATTTTCTATTACTCTGTTACAGCAACATCAGCTGTATCAGCCTGAACTACTTAAGAGAATTATGAAGTGAAAAAATCATACTCACACACTGTAGAAATACAACCCAGTACTTAGAACCACAGAATCATGTCTGTGATCCACTTTAATGTTAGCAAATGAAGCATCCATAAACCTATGTTTTTCCAACGCATTGTAGTTGAAATAAATTGGGTTTTTCTTCCAAATAATAATTATTTCTAAACTTACACAAGTGGTGGTTAAAAGTAGTAGTATTCTAATTCTGAAATGCTGTTTGGAAAAAACACCCCAACCTTTAAAATTAGTGCACTAATTACCTGCACTCTTTTTAATACATCACTGTATTGCTACCATGAAAACATTCACTCAAGACGTCTTTCAACAGAAAAATTTTCATTTGAAAGGGGTATTTTCTTGAAACAATGGATTTTCACATATTGACCAACTCGACAGGACTCAGATTTTACAGCATGGACTCCTTACAAATCAGACTAAGTTCAGAGAGCGCCAAAGCTCTTCCATTCCACACAAACTGCAACTGCTGCTCCAACTCACAGGATGGAAAGTGGAATGAGAAAATTCTCAGAGCAAATAATGCAAATGAAGTAGGACATACATACAGAGAGTGATAGGACAGGGAAAATGGTTTTAAACTGAGAGGGTAGATTCAGATTAGACATTAGGCAGAAGCTCTTCCCTGTGAGAGTGCTGAGGCACTGGCACAGGGTGTCCAGAGAAGCTGTGGCTGCCCCATCCCTGGCAGTGTTCAAGGCCAGGTTGGACACAGGGGCTTGGAGCAAGCTGCTCTAGTGGAAGGGGTCCCTGCCCATGGCAGGGATTGGAACTGGCTGAGCTTTAAGGTCCCTTCCAATCCAAACCAGTCTGGGATTCTATCAAAGATTAAGAGTGGGTAATCAACTATTTTTATTTCCGTTTTCATTAAAAGCATAAACATATATAATAGGGTTTGTACTGTAAAACCTAGCACATCTGGCCATCAGAAAGCTGTCTTGTTACTCCAGCTTTAACACAGGCATCGTGTTCACCCAGGAGAGCCTGATGATGCATCTGAAAACACAGCTTTAAGCAGCAGCTACTACTTAATACAAGCTTTTCTATCTTCATTCAAAATCAGTTACAGGGAACTGTTTTCTTAGAAATAACTATATTCCCACCATTCCCATGGGGTTTGCAATTTTCTGGAAACCAGGTCAAGCAGCTTCAAGGAAGCAATCTATATATGGTATGTGTGTGTGCATATATATGTAAATATATATATATTCTACACCTAGGTTGGAGCAATCCCAGGCACAGCTACAGGTTGAGCAGAGAAGAGATTCAGAGCAGCCCTTCGGAGAAGGATTTGGGGGTGTTGGTCGATGAGAAAATGAACATGAGCCGGCTGCAGTGTGCGCTCACAGCCCAGAAAGCAACCGTATCCTGGGCTGCATCAAAAGGAGCGTGACCAGCAGGGCAAAGGAGGGGATCCTGCCCCTCTGCTCTGCTCTTGTGAGACCTCACCTGCAGCACTGTGTGCAGTTCTGGTGTCCTCAACATAAAAAGGACATGGAACTGTTGGAACAAGTCCAGAGGAGGCCACGAGGATGCTCAGGGGCTGGAGCAGCTCCTGTATGGAGCCAGGCTGAGAAAGTTGGGGCTGTTGAGCCTGGAGAAGAGAAGCTGCGTGGAGACCTCAGAGCAGCTTCCAGGGTCTGAAGGGGGCTACAAGGATGCTGGGGAGGGACTCTTCATCAGGGACTGTAGTGATAGGACAAGGGGTGATGGGTTCAAACTGAAACAGGGGAAGTTTAGACTGGATATAAGGAAGAAGTTCTTTACTGTGAGGGTGCTGAGGCACTTGACTGGGTTGCCCAAAGAAGCTATGAATGCTCCATCCCTGGTGGTGTTCAAGGACAGTTTAGACAGAGCCTTGGGTGCCATGGTTTAGTGTGAGGCACCCCTGCCCATGGGAGCGGGGTTGGAACTGGATGATCTTAAGGTCCTTTCCAGCCCTAACTATTCTATGAGATAGATATATATATATAAAACATCAAGAAATTTCAGCCCTTGTTACCTCCTTTTAGGGAAGAGATAAGTGGTATTGCTCTAGCACTTATGCACCTTCCAAAACTGTGAGGAGCAAGTCAAATGATTTTAGGAGCATTATCTAGATTTAAAGATGACCTTCTCATAAGGGTTTCTATGTCTAAGTGCATGATTTATTTCCTGCAACCTCTTGCTCACACACTTCTTGCTCTACCAGTGCACCATCCCTGCTTTTTACCCACTGGGAGCTTGAATATCCCATCACTTCTGCTGTTGCTCATGGTGGTTTACCACTAACCACCACCCTTGTAATCCTGTGACAACTGCCTGTCACACCGATGTCCTGTTGTCACACACGTATCTCATCGTCCAGCACCTCAATACACACTGACAGATTTCCACCCCTGATCCAATGCTGGGCTCCCCAGCCTCATCCTATTGCTCCCACACCCCTCCAGCTGCCCCACAGACCTGTCAGACATACAACCCCACACACCCTCCCGTACTACTCATACCCTCCCACTCCCCTCACAGCCAGGCAGCCCCCCCCGCTCCCTCCATGACCCATCGGACCCCCCGCTCCCTCCACGACCCATCGCTCCCCCCATCGCTCCCTCAAACCCCACAGGGCCTCCCCACCCGGGGGTGGGCAAAGCGGAGGTCCCAGCAGCGCATGCGCAGGCGGCCGCCCGCCTCCCCGCCGCGGCCCGCGGGGTCCCGCCCCGCCGGCACCACAGCGAGCAGCGGCCTTCGCCGGGAGAAGGCGGCAGCTGCGAGTGGCGAGCCCCGAGCTGAGGTGAGGAGGCGCGGGGAGAGGGAAGGAGGGAAGGAAGGAGGGGAGGGAGGCACCTCCCCGCCGCGGGGTGTGCTCAGGGAGAGCGGCCTGAGGGGAGAAGCGAGCACCCTCAACGCGCTGCATCGCCGGCCGCCTTCCTGAGGCGGCAGCAGTGCCCGCGTGCGGCCTCACCTGACGGGGTCCCGGGGGAAGCGGAAGAAGGCGAGGTCGGACTGTGTGCTCTTGCGGGTGCAGTTGGGAGCCGCGCAGAAGTTCGGCATGGTCCCGCGGGTTGGCGCCGCTGCCCCTTTAAATGCCGGAGGGAGGGGAGGGAAGGGGGGGGGGGGTGTATGTGGGGAGGAGGAGGAGGACAGGGGGGAGGGAGGGAGGCAGGAAGGAAGGAAGGACGGGGCCGGGGTGGGGGAAGAAGCGGCTCTACACTGCTGTGAGCGGCCGGGAGGATTCACCGCCACCCTCCGCCGGGACAAGGGCCGCCTCCTTCCCACAGTGCACCGCGAGCGGCCACCCGCCGGGCAGTGCCCATGCGCCGCGCTGCGACGGCGGCGCCCGGATGAGCGGTGCGCATGCGCGCCCCCTAACGGGGCTCTGGGTCCCTCAGTGGTAGGAAGCGGTGTGTGAGCGGCCTTGGGTGGATTCACCTTAAAAATGGAGTTGGGATGTGGAATACAACATGTTCTGGCTCTCTGATGGATGTTTTGTTATGTTCTGCTTTTTAGGAAGGTGTTACTCTGGAGCCTGCATGGGTAATGGGAGAAGGCTGGAGAAGTGAAGCTCCATGGGGACCTCAGAGCAGCTTCCAGTGTGTGAAGGGGGCTACAAGGATGCTGGGGAGGGACTCTTCATTAGGGACTGGAGTGATAGGACAAGGGGTGATGGGTTCAAACTGAAACAGGGGGAGTTCAGGTTGGATATAAGGAGAAGTTCTTTACTGTGGGGGTGCTGAGGCACTGGAATGGGTTGCCCAGAGAAGTGGTAAATGCTCCATCCCTGGCAGTGTTCAAGGCCAGGTTGGACAGAGCTTGGGTGACATGGTCAAGTGTGAGGTGTCCCTGCCCATGGCATGGGGTTTGGAACTGGATGATCTTAAGGTCCTTTCCAACGCAAACCATACTACAAACAAGGAATATGTTAAGCAATCAAGTAATCAAGCAGGGAGTATGCCTGATGTGGAGGCTTTGTCACATGTGTCAGAGGTGAAAGCAAGCTTAGGAAAAAGAACCAGGAGATGGAAGACTGGATGGTTGGAGGAGAAAAAAGAGTTATTCACCAAATATGGCTTGCTAGTAGTTTGAGGAATCATGGAATCAGAATGGTTTGGGTTGGAAGGGGCCTTAAATCTCCTCAAGTTCCAGCCCCCTGAAATGAGCAGGGACATCTTCAACTAGATCAGATTGTGCAAAAGTAGGTGAAGTAGCTATAAAATCTATAAATGCTGATGGCAAATGATAATGGTTTCAGGTATGGTAGTGCTGCAGTGTGAGAATTCAGCTGTGATATATTTTCTATATATTTTCAAAATCACATTAAAAAGTATCCTGACATGGAGATCTGTTGGGCTTTGGGAAGCAGAATGTAAACATGGGAAGCAGCCAAAGTCTTTGTTGTTTAAAAAAAGTGCATAAGGGGAAATAAACCAAAAAAATTTACTTGTTTCTTTTAGCATGGCTTCAAGACTTGTAAGCTGTTCTGTATGAATATAGCAAAAGCTGTCTTTTGTAGGAAAAACATTGCTATCAAGTGCCTTTCAAACAAGGAGTCTCAAAATATATTTCATTGGAATAATTTTCATAACATTATTTGGTGTTAATTATTTGCCAGGATTCAAATTTAGGCATGGAGCTAATTCCTTATCAGTAGTTTTAAGCAGTCATTTAAGCCAATGCTAAAGGTAAGTTTTGGTGCACCTCCCTGCTTTCACTTTACTGGGCAATCACCAGCGTTCGTACGCAGTGAACTGTGTAAGAAACTTAATCAGAAACTAACTCCTTTTTAAATACACTCATTTACCTTTAGGTTTCATTTAGTTCAGGTAAATGCCATGTGATATGCTGTGCAGATACATAAATGTTCACACTCAAGACAAGAAGAAGAGAAGGATCATTTTAAATTGCAGTAATAGTTCAGAAGCATGGCTCTGTAATGTTATGGGACTTTTAAAACCTGTTTCAGTAGGAAAAACTACTTTAGCCTTAAATAATATGAAAATTGAGAGTATGCTCTGCTCAAGATTGAAGGGCCTTTTCTCCTCCAAATTGATTGCCAAACAAAAGCATGTGTGTGCTAAAGCCCCTTCTCTACAAGTGTGTTTAAGGCTCTTCTAAATGTGAATATATCTGTATATAAACTTTCCTAATGAAATTAAAGCATCCTGAAGTCTCCTGGATGATGGGTCTTCTGAGGAGACTAATTTTCAAGTGATTGCTATATAAGGGAAAGAAAATGAGCTTAATTCTTTTCAACAAAATTACTAAAAGCCCATTGCCTATAAAGAAAATTAGTTTACTACTTAGTTGGAAATTATTAGCTTCTGTTGTACTGTACAGAAATCACCAAAACCCTTTTCTTCCTTGCAGAATAGCCTTTGAAGTGCATATATATAATCTGTATGCTGGTGATTTTGTGTCTTAGATAATACTTAAGACTAAAGTATTGCTCACAGCATATTTCCAAGTGTGTCTTTGCCTGTTGACATTGAATGGAGATTGCATATTGTGTTAGTAACATTGTACGTATAATCTGTGTTCTCTGGATAAATGTAAGGAATTTTGCCTGCTCACATGGATTTTTAATTGCCTTTTCACCCCTCACTATCTCTTAAGGTCAGCTGTATCTTAAATCCAGGATCCCCTATCACGTAATAGCAGTTGCAAAATGACTTCTTTAGTGTATGTCTCGAATTGAGCTGCACGTCTCTCCCAGGGTGGAAGTCACTGGGGCTTGATGGTACTGTTAAAGTATGATTATGTAGTCTTGCAGGTTTCCTGCTATTAAAAACGTATTTGCAAGAGAATATTTGAAGTCTGAAATGCTTTCATGACTCTTACCACTATTACATTCTCTTGCAAGTCATACAGCCCCGTTTTGTTGGCTTAACCTGTGTGTAAGAGCTCAACAGACATGAGGTTAATCCTGTGGAGGTGTTTTAGTAAATGTGTATCCAGACATGCTGAAATTCACAATGACAGGATGAAAAACAAGATGCTTCTATCCAGGGTTTGCCTACAGTTCTGCAGAACTAACTCTTCATTGACAGTGGAGAGAAGGGATGGGATCCAGAGGGACCTGGACACGTTGGAGAGGTGGGACCGTGTGAACTTCATGGGCTCAACCAGACCAAGGGCAAGGTCCTGCCCCTGGGTTGGGGCAATCCCAGCACAAACACAGGCTGGGGGAGACCAGATGGAGCAGCCTGAGGAGAAGGACTTGGGGTGTTGGGTGAGGAAAAGCTCCCCATGACCCGGCTTCAGTGTGTGCTTGAGCCCAGAAGCCCCCCGTGTGCTGGGCTGCACCCCCAGAGCATGAGCAGCAGCTCAGGGAGGGGATCCTGCCCCTCTGCTGTGCTCTGGGGAGACCCTCCCTGCAGCCCTGATCCAGCTCTGGGGCAGCAGCACAAGAGGGACGTGGAGCTGTTGGAGCGAGGCCAGAGGAGGCCATGGAGATGCTGTGAGGGCTGGAGCAGCTCTGCTCTGGAGCCAGGCTGAGAGAGCTGGGCTGGGTCAGCCTGGAGAAGAGAAGGCTCCTGAAGGGGCAAGAGAAGGCAGCAATGTTCAGCATGCAAGAAGGTTTTCAACAGGGTGAGTAATCAGTGCTAGAGCAGGTAACTAGAAGGCAGGGTGGATTCTGCATCCTATGGGGGCTTCAGAGTTAAATTAGGTGGTTTTCTGTAAGTTGGGCTTGTGCATCCCAGAGAAGAGAGGGCTCCTTAAGAGAGACCTTAGAGCAGCTCCAGTGCCTAAAGGGGCTGCAGGAAAGCTGGAGACGGGCTTTGGACACGGGCCTGTGGGGCCAGGCCAAGGGGAATGGCTTTAACCTGCCCGAGGGGAGACTGAGCTGAGCTCTTAGGCAGAAGCTCTTCCCTGTGAGGGTGCTGAGGCGCTGGCACAGGGTGCCCAGAGAAGCTGTGGCTGCCCCATCCCTGGCAGTGTTGAAGGCCAGGTTGGACACAGGGGCTTGGAGCAAGCTGCTCTAGTGGAAGGTGTCCCTGCCCGTGGCAGGGATTGGAGCTGGGTGAGCTTTAAGGTCCCTTCCAACACAAACCAGTCTGTTTCGGTGATTCTGTCATCCTATGTCATGGTTTAAGTCCAGTCACTAATTCAGAAAAACCACACAGCCGTTCACTCACTCCCCCCCCCCCCCACCTTCCTCCCCCCGCTCCCAGAGGGATGGGGAGGAGAATCAAAAGAATGTAACTCCCACAGGTTGAGATAGGAACAGTGCAGTAACTAAGGTATAACACAAACCACTGCTACAGTGCAGTAACTAAGGTATAACACAAACCACTGCTGCTATCACCAATAATAATGATTAGGGGAATAACAAGGGAAGAGAATGCAACCGCTCACCACCCACCGACCGATACCCAGCCTGACTGAGCAGTGATCTAGCCCTGCAGGGTAACTGCCCCCAGTTTATACAGTGGGCATGACATGCTGTGGTATGGAATACCTCTTCGGCTAGTTTGGGTCAGGTCCTGTCTCTGCTTCCTCCCGGCTTCCCCTCCTCCCTGGCAGAGCATGAGACTCACAAAGTCCTTGGTCAGAGTAAACATTACTGAGCAGCAACTGAAAACACCGGTGTTATCAGCACTGTTCCCAGGCCGAAAGTCAATAACACAGTGCTGCACCAGCTACTAAGAAGGAGAAAAATGACTGCTACTGCTGAACCCAGGACATCCTGTTATCTATGGAGCTGCCTTTGTTATCCAGTCTCTGTAGAGTAATCAAATCACAGTTGATAGACTCACTTGCTTCCCCAGCACTATAGCACATCTAACCTAAAAATATTTAGTCAAAATCAGGAGCAAGTCATTCACTGATGAGTTGATGTGAACTCAGAAGTAATACATGGTCTGTTAACAGGTTAAAAGCACTACTTGAGGGAGAACACACAAGCATCCCTAAAACAACACAAATCACATCCCAGCATGGCTAAATTCTGCTAAATGCTAATCTGGGATGTGTTCTTTGAATTGCAGAAGTGTGCTGGAATCAACAGTGGTTTTTGATACATGTATGTGAGCACAGATAAGCACACAAGCCGTGCAGCGGAGCGATAACTGTAATACATTGCCTTATTCCCACCCTTTTATTCTGAGAAGTGGCTGTGCTTTCTTCCCAGCAAGTTTACACGTTCTTCACCAATGAACCACACTGATGGAGGTTTGCATCAGCCTCCCTGCATTGCACAGGGTACCAGCTTTAATTCACCTTTTGTCATGGCACAAAATGACACAATAAAGGTTTATTTGTCATTATCTGAGGTTATTTAATCAAGTTACTGCCTCGGTGTAGTAAAGTGATGGATTTAAGCCTTGCTGATTTTAGGTACTTTGAGGAGTGAAGCTCTTATGTTTTGTAAAATAACTCTGTATGTTGAATATAATGTGTATTTCTTATCATAGGGGAAAAAAAATCTCCTGTTAACTTGCAACACAAACCTGTTTGCAGTGAAAGCAGTTGAAATAGCTTTGGATTTGAATACAAGTAGTCCTGGGTGACAGTGCCTGTATCTGACAAGGCTGTGTGTAAAAGGCTCCTTTGGCAAGCCACTGGCACTGGAAAGTTGCTGAGGGTTCTGCTCTTACCTTAGCCAGGATTAAAAATGGGATTGGAAAGTGTTTAAGGAGGGAGAGTGGTCTGAGGGCAGTGGAATGAGATTAAAATAGGGTTGCTTATGTGAGGAAAACGTACTGAGTGATTGAATAGCCTCTTAAGTGGAAACCCCATTGGTTAGGCCTTTAAATCAGAAACCAAGGAAAAGACAAGTAATTTCTTTAACTTCTGTTAGAATTGAGGCTATTTCCCTCATATGCAAGACAGAAAACACTTTAAACCATCTTTAAATTCCCTCCAATTTTAAATCACCTGTAACTCTGCATTCATCTGACTATAAAAGAATAGTGGGTTTCTTGCTTCTTTCCTCAATTGCTTACAGGCTGAGGCAAGTAATATAACTTTTTTCCTTGATTTTCCCATTTTCCTTTAGAAATGGGACTCTTGGATGCTGAAACTTCACCGGTTACAGCAGACAAAGAGTAGCTGCTCACTGTTTCCATGTGCATAGTACCTCCGTGATGCACCTCTGTTCTACCTGGGAAAGGCTGCTCTGAAAAGGAAGGATTATGTCAGAGCCTGTATCAATTAGGTTGTAGCAATGTGAGTGGAGACGCAGTTAATAGCCCACAGCGAGGCTTCTGTGCTCATTTCCTATGAGCTCCTGAAGAGCTGAGAGGCGCAGCTTTGTCCTGGTGACCTGGGCTGCATACAAATCACCTCCCTGCTCCCCCCTTGGGCCATCTCATGCTTCCGAGCTCATTGTCTTCCCCTTTCCATTGTCTTTGGGGATAGAAGGAAGCGTGGTGAGACACACATTCTTCTGTTAGTGCCCAGGAAGTTTAATTAATCAGAGCAGTGTCTGTAATTGATGAGAATCCTATTATTTAAGCTGATGGGGGATCTGAGGATGCCAGGTTG